CTATGGATTTTGTTGTTGGACTCCCATGGACTCAGAGGAATTTCGACGCAGTGTGGGTTACTGTGGATAGGCTGACTAAGTCAGCGCATTTCATTCTTGTGGCAGTTTCCTATTCTTCAGAGTTGTTGGCAGAGATTTATATCTGTGAGATTGTTCGTCTCCATGGTGTGCACGAGTCTATCATTTCTGATCGAGGTACGCAGTTTACCTCGCATTTCTGGAGAGTAGTTCAGCGTGAGTTGGGTACGCGGGTCGAGTTGAGCACAACATTTCATCCTCAGATGGACGGATAGTCTGACCGTACTATTTAGATTTTGAAGGATATGTTTCGCGCCTGTGCTATTGATTTTGGAGGTTCTAGGGATCAATTCTAGCCGTTAGCGGAGTTTGCCTACAATAACAACTATCAGTCGGGCATCTAGATGGCTCCTTATGAGGCTCTATATGGTAGGCAGTATCGGTTACCAGTTGGATGGTTTGAGCCGGGAGAGGCTCAGTTATTGGGTACAAATTTGGTACAGGATGCTTTGGATAAGGTTAAGATCATTCAGGATAGACTCCGTACAACTCAATCCAGGCAAAAGAGTTATGCCGGCCGTAAGGTTCGTGATGTGGCATTCATGGTCGGAGAGCGAGTGTTGCTTCAGGTGTCTCTAATGAAGGGCGTGATGAGATTTGGGAAGAAGGGCAAGTTAAGCCCTAGGTTCATCGGGCCTTTTGAGATTCTTGATCAAGTGGGAGAGGTAGCTTACACACTTGCGTTGACGCCAGGTTTATCAGTTGTACATCCAGTGTTTCATGTGTCCATGCTTCAGAAGTATCACGGCGATCCATCCCACATATTAGATTTCAGCACTGTTCAGCTGGACACGGATTTGACCTACGAGGAGGAGCCGGTAGCCATTTTAGACAGGCAGGTTCATCAGTTGATATCGAAGAGTTATCCTTCGGTAGGTGTGCAGTGGAGAGGTCAGCCTGTTGAGGCAACTACTTGGGAGTCCGAGTATGATATGTGGAGCAGATATCCCCATCTCTTCTCTAGCTCATGTACTTTTCTATGTCCGTTCGAGGACGAACGGTTGTATTATAAGTGGAGAATGTGATGACCCAAAATGGCATCTCATATTTTAGAACCCAATTCGGGATTCCGAGGCTTTCAAGACCTCATTTTCTTTCTCCTTGATTTGCGTACGTAGTCCGGGCGCGCTTCTGGAAAGGCTTTATGTGAAAATTTGAGAAAATGCTAAGTTTTGGCTTTAAAAATTAATTTAAGTTGACTTCGGTCAACATTTTGAGAAAATAGACCCGGACCCGTGCTTTGACGGTCCCGGAGGATCCATAGAAAAATATGGGACTTGGGCGTATGCCCGGAACCGAATTTTGAGGTCCCTAGCCCAAGAAATAAATTTTTGAAGAAAATTGTTAAACTAAAAATATAATGGTTTTTAGAAATTGAATAATGTTTGATCATGTTGGTATTGAGCCCGTATTTTGGTTTGGGAGCACGGTATAGGTTTAATATATTATTTAGCTCATGTCTGTGAAATTTGGTGAGAAATCGAGTTTATATGACATGATTCGGATCCTCAGTTGTGAAAATAGAAACTTTAAGTGTTCTTGAGAATTCTATTGATTTTGATGCTAAATCCATAGTTTTAGGTGTTATTTTTGCGATTTGATAGCACGAGCAAGTCCGTACGATGTTTTTAGACTTGTGTGCATGTCTGGTTTGGAGCCTCGAGTGCTCGGGTGAGTTTCGGGATGTTTTGGACTTAGAAATTTCTGTTGTTTTGCTGTTGCAGGTGCAAAGGTATTTTGTACTTCGCGATCGCGAAGAAACTCCCGCGATCGAGAAGAGTAAATTTATATGATGGAGCAATCCTTCTACGCGAAAGCGAAGCACTAGCCGTGAACGCGAAGCGTTAGGGGTATTACCCTTCGCGAACTCGACCTGACTATCACGAACGCGAAGAATGGGAACTGAGGGAGGGGAATGATACTCTATGTGAATGCGGCAAGTGGCTCGCGAACGCAAAGGTCGGGGGGGAAATACCTTCGCGAACGCGTAGGGTGTCCCGAAAACGCGAACGTCACTAGGACCACAGTTTTGCGAATGCGATAGACCTCCCACGAACGCGATGAAGGTCTGTCCAACGAATTTAAAAATAAAACCAGCACGGAATTAAACCAAAATTTCATATTTTCTTCCATAGAACTCGACCTTGGGCGATTTTTGAAGTGGAGATTCAACACCAAATCATGGGTTCGTGTTCAAAAACTCATTCCTTTCAATTTCCATCAATACCCATTAGACTTCTAGGCCTAAATCTTGTTATTTAAGGGTAGAAATTAGGGATTTTAGGAGAATTGGGGATTTTACAAATTTGGAGATTTAGACCTTGATTTTGGATCAGATTCCAAAACTAATTGCATATTTGGGCTCGTGGAAGAATGGGTTTTGGTTCAAACCTCGAGTTTTGACCAAGCGGGCCGGGGGTCGGTTTTTGACTTTTTGGGAAAAAATTTGGGAAAACTAAATTTGTGCATTGTAGTTGATTCCCATAGCAATAATTGTTGATATTGAATTAATTGTGGCTAGATACAAGTGGATTGGAGGTGGAATCTAAAGGAAAAGCGATATTTGAGGCTTGAGTTTGGCCGTGGAATCGAGGTAAGTGTCGTGGCTAACCTTATCTTGAGAGATTAGGTGTTGTTACCTTATTTGCTACGTGTTTAGTTGGTTAGTACAACGTATAGGTGAGATGACGAGTACCTATACGTTGTTGTTAGGTCATAGCATGCGAGTTAGTCTTATACTTGTGACTATGGTATTCCTTTATACATACTATTCATGCTTTAACTTGTTAATTCTTCATGTTAAATAAGTTTTATTACGTTTTCCCTGTTGTGGATATTGGTTTAGTATTGACTCAAGTTGGGATTTATATTGTGATGTTAATGTTGAAACAAGGTTGGTTATTGCTGATTCCCTTGCCGGATTGTTATTGTTTCTATTGTTTGGGTGAGGAAGAGTGTAAAGCATGAAGGGTGATGCCTTGCACGATGTTAAGAGTGAGTGTTAATGCACGAAGGGTGATGCCGTGTCATATTCTGTGAGTGTTAATGCACGAAAGGTTATTCTGTGCCATGATTATGAGAGAGTTAATGCACGAAGGGTGATGTCGTGTTGTTTCTTATGGTAAGGACGAGAGTAAAAGCACGAAGGTAGATGCCGTGCACATGTTGCTATGTTATTATTTTTGTTGGTTCAAAGCATGATATTTACTTTGTTTCTTTACTGTATTATTATCAGAATTTGATATTCCCCTCAGCATGTTTCCCCTTCCCGTTATTATTTTGTTAAATTTCTGTTATTATTATTTTCTTGTATATGATTTAACTGCACAAGTTTATATTGTTGTCGTGTCATAGTCTCGTCACTACTTCGACGAGATTAGGCTCCGCACTTACCAATACATGGGGTCGGTTGTACTGATACTGCACTCTGCACTTTCTGTGCAGATTTCGGTGTCGGACCTTGTGATTAGAGTTGGGTTGCTGCCTTCAATCCATCAGGAAACCCAGGGTAGATTTGCTGGCGTTCGCAGACCCTGGAGTCCACTTTACTCTATCTTAGTTTTCCTGTCTCTTTCATTTCGAGAACATATGTATTTTTTAAACCAGTATTTGTAGAAAATTCTTAGAAATTCGTGGATTGTGACACTAGATCTTTTGGGTAGCCGTGTAGTAGTGTTTTAAACTGTTATAAAATTTCCGCATTTTATATTTGTTTAATTTAGATTATTGTTAATTACTAGTTTGGTTAATGATTAATCCATTAGGACTGTATCTGTTGGCTTGCATAGCATTCTTAGAGCTAGGCACCATCACGATCCCGATGATGGGAAATTCGGGTCGTGACAAAAGTTTTATCACCAAAGCATGCACCTCTTTCTGTCTATGATAGAGAGTTGTTGGCCATGGTATATGCAGTAACTAAATGCTCACAGTATTTGTTGGGATAGAAATTCATCATCAGAACTGATCAAAAGGCCTTGAAGTATCTTATGGAGCAGACTCTACACACTAATTCCCAACTACTGTGGCTAACCAAACTAATGTCATTTGATTACTCAATAGAGTACAAGAAGGGAGTGGAGAACAAGCTAGCTGATGCTCTCTCTAGAGTAGCTGGAGCTGAATTATTGGCACTAATGGTTTCATCTGCTAATACTGATCTTTTCCAGGCTATAGTTAACAGTTGGGACTCTGATCGGGAGCTGAAGAAACTCATTGAAGAACTCCAAGCTGATTCACATACTCACAAGCAGTTCACATGGTTTCAAAGGCAGCTAAGAAGGAAGAGCAGATTGGTGATAGGCAAGGTGCTAGAATTGAGAAGAGCAATTATAACCTTGTGGCATGTAACTCCTCAAGGTGAGAATTTAGGCGTTGAAGCTACCCTAAGGAGACTACTCGCACTGTTCTATTAGAAGAACATGAGGAAGGAGGTAAAAGACTTTGTGCAGAAATGTGATGTCTGCCAAAAGAACAAATTTGACTTGGCTGCTTATCCTGGTTTGTTACAACCATTACCTATTCCAGATGTAGTGTGGTCTCAAATTAGTATGGATTTCATTGATGGCCTTCCTAAGTCAAATGGCTATGAGGTTATACTAGTAGTGGTGGACAGGCTCAGCAAATATGGCCATTTCATTCCACTGAAGCACCCTTATACTGCTCATTCAGTCGCTCAAGTGTTCTTAAACACTATGGTGAGGTTATATGGTCTACATGATACCATTACTAGTGATCGAGATGCTGTCTTTCTCAGTAATTGCTGGCAAGAGCTATTCTCACTACAAAGAGTACAATTGAATACCTCTTCTGCATACCATCCTCAATCTGATGGAGAGACTGAGGTATTGAACATAAGTTTGGAAACCTACTTATGCTGCTACTGTAATGAAGATGCTGCTAACTGATACTCTTATTTGCCTATGGCTGAGTACTGGTATAACACTTCACTTCACTCAGCCATACAGACCACCCCCAATGAAGCATTATATGGTGGACCACCTCCCTTACATTTACCCTACTTGCCAGAGGAGTCAGCTGCAACTGAAGTTGATAACACCTTGATCAACAGGGAACTAAAACTGCATCTGCAACATAGAATGAAGCAACAAGCAGATTCCCACAAAAGTGATCGACAATTTAATGTTGGTGATTGGGTCTATCTAAAAGTCCACCCCTATAAGAAAGTGGCTATATCCAACCATTCATCCCACAAATTAGCTTCTAAATACTATGGCCCTTTTCAGATTCTTAAACGAATGGGTTCAGTTGCCTACACTTTATTACTTCCTGCTAGAGTTAAGATTCACCCCACAGTGCATGTTTCACTGTTGATAAAATACTATGAAGTTCCATCTCAGATTTCTTATCCCCCGGTTATTGATTTGGCGAGCGCTTATTGTCCTGATCCTGAATTAATCTTATAAAGGGGGATGGTGAAGAAGGGAAACAAAGCTATTGCACAAGCCTTAGTTAAATGGAAAGGGCTCCCTGTTGATGCTGCTACTTGGGAGTTTGTTACTGTCCTACAAATGAGGTTTTCTTCTTTTGATCCTTGTGGTCAAAGGATTTTCGATTGGGGGAGTACTGACACACGATTATAAAGGCAAACTCAAATGCAGAAGAATCAATAGTGAAGTCAAAAGTTAGTTATTGGGAGGGAAATTTAGTTACAATTAGTTGTGGTAGTTAGCATAACCGAATTCTATTAGAAGTTCTGTTAGAAGGGAATTTAGCTTTACCATTTTGAATACATGTAATCAGTACATAAAAGAGTTGTAAGCTACATTTTCAGATCATCAATGAATACATAAACTTCTCCCTAAATTCTCTCTTCTCTTCATCATTATCTCTCTTCGTCTTCTTCTTCTTCTCGAGTAAATCCTGAAGCAGTGTTGCGATCCTCGAATTCGCTTTGAATTCCTGCAATCGTATAACATTGCATAAAAGCACGAATATAAAACGCTAAATGTTGAACGACTAAAATATCCCTAAAATACTGATTGACTTTTATACCCTTAATTATTTATATTAATTTTCAAAAGAAGTCATAAGAAAATGACATAACTGGAATACTACATGTTAAGACTAAGAGTTGCAATAGAATAAAAATTTAACTGTGAAAGAAAGTAGAATTACAAACGAAATAAGAATTATATTTGGAGCAGGTACCTACTCATCACGTAAGAAAAAGTCCAGGATTCTCCACCTTAATATAAGACATATCATTTATCTTTTTCTGGAGAATCGGTGGCTTCCCAAACTCTCTGCAAATTCAATAAGAATAAACACGAGTATCAACTGCCATACTTGAAAGCGTATATTCGAATGGCCACAAAAAATATCTTGAATATAGATTCGACATGAAGGGTGACTTACTCCAACCTTGTCGGAGAACAACGGTTTATGCTGAAATTACTGAGAAGTAAACACAATTTTGACTTGGTTCATAAATATGCAAGACAGCACAATTTTGACTTGGTTCATAAATATGCAAGACATCAACAAGCCAAGTGATGGACTAAATTAAAGTAAGTTGCAACAAGAACTTGAATTATGTTGGCATTCTTAGCGAGAGACGAGAAGAGTAAGATCCTGCAATTTGGACTCTTCTCTGCAACATTGTGGCTTTGAAAAATTCATAAGGTTAGCTTAGTGTAGTTCACTTTTAATGAATAAATACTAAATAGACAAAGGAAACCTTTTGCTGCATGAGTCTCAATTTGTATAGGAGTCGATTGCATTGTCTTTGATAGATATGAACAAAAGCCACAAAACTAATCAATAAATTCACTCAAGTATGTGTTATACAATGTCATTCTTCTATTAGTATATCGGGATCTATTAAATTTCTTCTATTGGACTCATGTTTCAACATTTAACGAATGTACTAAATCATACTTGTATTTTTCAACCGCATGTATTTATGTATAGACTGTTACATTAGGTTTGCTAATAGCTTTTGTTTTTTTTAAGCAAATATACCACTAGGCAGGCTGCCTAGTGGCTAATATATATAAATATCCCAAAACTTGGATCCAAAGCTTACAAGATGTCCAAACCAATATAAAAATGCAAAATACTACTAGCTAGTACTACGAATAGAAAATCTAATACTAATGAGCTAGCTATTACACAGAATAAGGATGAATGCTTCCAACTCCAAGTGGTGTAATTGAATCCAATAGCCAAGTGCAAACACCAAGTAGCACCTCTAAAGTTCTCACCATGCGCCAGGGTATGCGTTTCATTAAACAAACATCTAATGAACAAGGCTAATGTGGATTCCAAACACTTACTCCACTGATTTGAAGCTATCCAGAACTGATATACATGTGTGTTGCTCCAGCTTGATCTCTTAAGACTTGATCTCCATTTTCAAAAATTGTGATCTCCAGCAGCATTAGATGGTAGATTAACTGGACATTGCCAAAGATGTTCCTGTATAGTTTTGGACCATAACTGATTGCTTAGCAAATAGATATCAAGTATTACCCTCACATCTCCATATTGAGTGCAATAACACACTAATACGACTGGATAATGCTCAAGCAATACACGATCTAATGATAGATGAAGCAGCAGCTGGTTATGAGAATTATCTAGGCAGAAGACTATGTCCAGTTCAAGAACACACTGTCTAATTACTTGTGCATCATGAATCCAGTATATAAAACACACACCATGACAGTATGTATCACCTTGCAAGCTTGTTGTGTATCCTGTATAATGCCTACTTGCCTTATGAACTCTGTATGTTGTCAAACAATTCCCAGGCTGAGCATGATGACATGATAATACCACTGGGAAATCATCTACCAACACACAGAACAGAAAACCAATGAAGAGTGAGGCAAGATCAGGCATAGCATCCATATATATGATCATCAGTCTGGTGCTTTTCTTTTTGCTGTCATAACCCTAAGATTAGGGATTTGAGCTTTGTCTACACTGATTAATCTCCTCCTTGCACTTGGCAGTTCAGAGAATGAGTTAAATGACATTGTACCTGCAAAAGAAAAAAACAATGTTAGCTAAATAATCTGCTACTGCATTTCCTTCTCTGAGCACATGTTGAAAAATCACATTGAATTGATCTTTCATCCCCTTTATCCTCTTCAAGTCTATCCCAATGCACCATGGTGGATCCCAATCCCCTTCAATGATCCTCTTCATTACCAACGAGTCAGTCTCAATAATGAGAGGATGAAGCTGCTTCTCCACACAGTATGCTAATCCTTCAATAATAGCTTTTGCCTCAACCACAATATTGGTTGTCTCACCTATCTCCTTTGCTTCAGCATATACCAGATCTCCACTACTATTACGCACACAAAAGCCATAGAAACTAGGTCCAGGATTGCCTCTACAAGCCTCATCTGTGTTACACTTAAACCAGCCCTCATATGGAAATTGCCAAGTTACTCTCTTAGTTACTACATAAGGTTTATAACCTTCAAAATACTTAACCATATCCGGCCACAATACAGGGATATTCGGCATCCACAGATACCTCACCTTTTCTAGATAGGGTAGAGTCTTATTTACCTCATGAATCACCCTATTACAAGACATTGATCCTCCATGCTTCATTGTGTTTCTTCTCTTCCAAATCTCCCATGTCACCACTGCTGGTATTGCCTAAATCAATGGCTTAAGATTGGGACAACACTGAGTATTCCAGCATGCTCTTATCTCTTGATGCACCTGCACCATATTGACGATTATACCTGCTGCCTGAAGGAACATTTTCCACACTTTGGTTGTTGTATCACTTGTAAGGAATAAATGTTGGAAGGAATCTTCTTGTGGGGGTAGACAACACCAACACTTAGATACTACCATATATCCACTTCTCCTCCATATATCATCTGTAGGAATCTTGCCCTTCCACAATCTCCATAGAAAGAAAGAGATTTTGAAGGATAGACCCTTGATCCACAACATCTTGTATTCTGCATTTGTTAGAGCCATATGCCTTAGAATCTGCCATGCACTACCCACTGTAAATCTGCCTGAAGTTGTTAGCATCTACTTGGGAGTGTCCTAGTACTCATCACTGCTATCAAAATGTTCCTCTTACCTTAAATGATCTGCAATATCATCCGGGAAATACTGCTCTAGCAACTGATCATTCCAACTGTCTTGCACCCTCAACTCAGCCACTTCCTGCAGTTCTTCATCAATGGGAAATTCTGGCGGTATTACATGATACAATGCTCCTAAACCAGTTCAATTTTCATGCCATACATTGGTAGAACCTCTATTCATCTCCCATAATATCTCATGTTCCACCTCTTCCCTTGCCTCCAATATCTTTCTCCACACATGTGAGCCTTCTTTAAATTGGACAACTGTAGGAAATTCCTTCTTATAATACTTGTTCCACATAAAGTTTGACCATTGGGACTTCGATGTGCTGAACTTCCACCATAGTTAGCAAAAAGAACCTTAGACACATCAAACAATGATCTAAAGCCTAGACCACCCTCCTCCTTTGGTAAGCATAAGTTAAGCCATTTTGTCCAGTGTCTACTCTTTCCCTCCTCTTTGTTACTCCAGAAAAACCTAGCAAAGGTTTTGTGCAAATGTTCCAACACATTATCAGGAGGATCCAATACTGATAATATATGTGTAGGCATGCTTTGAAGCACACTAGTAATGAGAGTTGCCTTGCCTCCATAAGATAGTAATTTTCCTTTCCAGGAGTGTAGTTTTGCTTTCACCTTCTTAATGACATCATTATAATAATATTTCCTCCATTTATGCAGAAGATAGGGCATCCTAAGTAAGTGAATGGAAACTCCCCCTTTTAAAATCCAGTGAGTGCACCTACTGATGAAAAGAGTGATCCTGCCACATTAACATGCATATAGTATGAACTCTTGTTCTTATTAATTAACTACCCAGAAGTCTGCTCATACAGTGTTAGTACCTCCATCACTTTCCCTAATGAATAAGGATCAGTAGATGCAAAGATGATTGTATCATCTGCATAAGCCAAATGGTTTAAAGGATCTGTCCACTTTGGCATCCCATATCCTCTAAACCCCTTGTCTTCAAAGAACTTGTTCAAAGATCTTGATAACACTTCAGCTGATAAAATAAAGAGTGATGGGGATAAGGGATCACCTTGATTAACTCCTCTCATAGATCTAAAGAGTCCTGAAGCTTGGCCATTTACTAGTATTGAGTACGAGTTGTTTGAAAGCATATTCCATATCTTGTTTATGAAAATCTCTGAAAATCCCATCTTTCTCAACACATGTAATAGATACCTCCAGGAAACCCTATCACATGCATTTTCCGTGTCCAACTTTATAACCATATTAGTAGGTTTTCCCCTTAACCTTATGTTAGTGACAATCTCATGTGAGTAAGATATTCTCAAAGATACTTCGCCCTTTAACAAATATGGATTGATTGG